AATGAGAACGAAGACACAACATGCCAGAACCTCTGGGACACATTTAAAGCAGTCTCTAGAGGAAAGTATATAGCAATAAGTGCCCATATGAGGAGAATGGAGAGATCCAAAATTGACACCCTATCGTCAAAATTGAAAGAGCTAGAGGAGCAAGATCAACAAAACTCAAAACCCAGCAGAAGACAAGAAATAACTAAGATCAGAGCTGAACTGAAGGAGATTGAGACACGAAAAACCCTTCAAAAAATCAATAAATCCAAGAGCTGGTTTTTTGAAAAGATCAACAAAATAGACAGACCACTAGCCAGATTGATTAAAAAGAAAAGAGAGAACAACCAAATAGATGCAATAAAAAATGATAAAGGGGAAATCACCACAGACTCCACAGAAATTCAAACCCTCATCAGAGAATATTATAAACAACTCTATGCACATAAACTAGTAAACCTGGAAGAAATGGATAAATTGCTGGACTCCTGTGTCCTCCCAAGCCTAAACCAGGAGGAAGCTGAAACTATGAATAGACCAATAACAAGGTCAGAAGTCGAGGCAGCAATTAAGAGCCTACCACTCAAAAAAAGCCCAGGTCCAGACGGATTCACAGCCGAATTCTACCAGACACACAAAGAGGAGCTGGTACCATTCCTTCTAAAACTGTTTCAAACAATCCAAAAAGAGGGAAGCCTTCCCAAATCATTTTACGAGACCAACATCATTCTGATACCAAAACCCGGCACAGACCCAACAAGAAAAGAAAACTTCAGGCCAATATCCATGATTAACATAGATGCAAAAATCTTCAATAAAATATTGGCAAGCCGATTGCAACAGCAAAGCAAAAAACTTATTCACCATGATCAAGTAGGATTCATCCCGGGGATGCAAGGCTGGTTCAACACACGCAAGTCTATCAACATAATTCACCACATAAACAGAACCAAAAACAAAAACCACATGATTATCTCAATTGACGCAGAGAAGGCATTTGACAAAATTCAACAGCCCTTTATGCTAAAAACCCTCAATAAACTCGGTATCGATGGAACGTATCTCAAAGTAATAAAAGCTATTTATGAAAAACCAACAGCCAATATCATACTGAATGGGCAAAAACTGGAAGCATTCCCTTTAAAATCTGGCACTAGACAAGGATGCCCTCTTTCACCACTCCTATTCAATATAGTACTGGAAGTTCTAGCCAGAGCAATCAGGCAAGAAAAAGAAATAAAGGGTATTCAAATAGGAAAGGTGGAAGCCAAATTGTCTCTATTTGCAGACGACATGATAGTATACCTAGAAGACCCCATTGCCTCAGCCCAAAAACTCCTGAAACTGATAAGCAACTTCAGCAAAGTCTCAGGATATAAAATCAATGGGCAAAAATCACAAGCATTTGTCTACACCCATAACAGACTTAAAGAAAGCCAAATCAAGAACGAACAGCCATTCAGAATTGCTACAAAAAGAATAAAATACCTTGGAATACAACTCACAAGGAACGTAAGGGACCTCTTCAAGGAGAACTACAAACCACTGCTCAACGAAATCAGAGAGGACACAAACAGATGGAGAAACATTCCATGTTCATGGTTAGGAAGAATTAATATCGTGTAAATGGCTATACTGCCCAAAGTAATTTACAGAATCAACGCTATCCCCATCAAGCTACCATTGACTTTCTTCACAGAACTGGAAAAAACCACCATGAACTTCATATGGAACCAAAAGAGAGCCCGCATAGCCAAGTCAATTCTAAGCAAAAAGAACACAGTGGGGGGCATCACACTACCAGATTTCAAACTATACTACAAGGCTACAGTAATCAAAACAGCATGGTACTGGTACCAAAACAGAGATATAGACCAATGGAACAAAACAGAGACACCGGAGGCAACACAACATATCTACAACTATACAATCTTTGATAAACCTGACAAAAACCAGCAATGGGGAAAGGATTACCTGTTTAACAAATGGTGTTGTGAAAACTGGCTAGCCATGTGCAGAAAGCAGAAACTGGGCCCCTTCCTGACACCTTACACTAAAATTAACTCCAGATGGATTAAAGACTTAAACATAAGACCTGGCACCATAAAAACCCTAGAAGGAAATCTAGGCAAAACTATCCAGGACATAGGAGTAGGCAAGGACTTCATGAACAAAACACCAAAAGCATTGGCAACAAAAGCCAAAATAGACAAATGGGACCTAATGAAACTCCACAGCTTCTGCACGGCAAAAGAAACAGTCACTAGAGTGAATCGGCAACCAACAGAATGGGAAAAAATTTTTGCAGTTTACCCATCTGACAAAGGGCTGATATCCAGAATTTACAAAGAACTCAAACAGATTTACAGGAAAAAAACAAACAAGCCCATTCAAAAGTGGGCAAAGGATATGAACAGATACTTTACGAAAGAAGACATATATGAGGCCAACAATCATATGAAAAAATGCTCATCGTCACTGGTCATCAGAGAGATGCAAATCAAAACCACACTGAGATACCATCTCACGCCAGTTAGAATGGTGATCATTAAAAAATCTGGAGACAACAGATGCTGGAGAGGATGTGGAGAAAAAGGAACACTTTTACACTGTTGGTGGGAGTGTAAATTAGTTCAGCCATTGTGGAAGACAGTGTGGCGATTCCTCAAGGCCTTAGAAATAGAAATTCCATTTGACCCAGCAATCCTATTACTGGGTACGTATCCAAAAGACTATAAATCGTTCTACTATAAGGACACATGTACACGAATGTTCATTGCAGCACTGTTTACAATAGCAAAGACCTGGAATCAACCCAAATGCCCATTAATAATGGACTGGATTGGAAAAATGTGGCACATATACACCATGGAATATTATGCAGCAATCAGAAATGATGAGTTTGTGTCGTTTGTAGGGACATGGATGAATCTGGAGAACATCATCCTCAGCAAACTGACACAAGAACAGAAAATGAAACACCGCATATTCTCACTCATAGGCGGGTGATGAAAAATGAGAACACGGACACAGAAAGGGGAGTACTAAACACTGGGGTCTATTGGGGGGAAAAGGGGAGGGCCAGTGGGAGGGGGGATAGCCTGGGGAGAAATGCCAAATGTGGGTGAAGGGGAGAAGCAAAGCAAAGCACACTGCCATATGCGTACCTACGCAACTGTCTTGCATGCTCTGCTCATGTACCCCAAAACCTAAAATCCAATAAAAAATTTAAAAAAAAAAGATGTTATGTCTTTATTCTGTCACCAGTGATTCTAAAACTTTAGTCAGCATAATGAATGTCTGTGACATTTTTAAGAATGAAGTTTTCTGGGCCTTCCCCTCTGAATCCAAAGTGGTAGAGCATAATCTGAGTATTATGGCCTGACGTTCTCAAAGCCCACCTTGGAGGTTATGCTGCAGAGTATGGATTTAAGTGGGACAGAATCAAGTTGAGAGATAAATTAGGAGGTTATCGTAATAGTTTAGGTGAAACATGCAGCTTGGAGAAAGGTTGTATTAATGGGGTAGTGAGATAATCCAGCTAAAGAACTTAAACATTATCTGGCACATAGTAGGCAGCCTCCATCATCAGCAGCACTACTACTACTATTGCTACCACTATGAAGGATTCTAAAAACATTTGAAAACAAAAATCAGCAAGTAAGAACATAAGAGACTTCAATAAGATATTAAGTGGGCTAATTAATATATACATATAATGGCAACATCAACTTTCTTATGTTTTATATCTGTATGTATATTTGCGGAAAATTCTATAACATGAAAATAGAGAACAAATATTCTTCTTTCTTTCTTTCCTTTTTTTTTTTTGAGACAGTATCTCACTCTGCCACCCAGGCTTGGAGTGCAGTGCTGTGATCACTGATCACCACAGCCTCAACCTGCCAGGGCTCAGGTGACTGCTACTTCAGCCTCCCAAGCAACTGGGACTACGTGTGTGCACCACCCAGTCTGGTCAATTTTTGTATTTTTTGTAGAGACAGGGTTTTGCTCTGGTGCAAGGTTGAAACACGGTGGTCTCGAACTCCTGGGCTCAAGTGATCTGCCCATCTTGGCTTCCCAAAGTGCTGGGATTACAGGCATAAACCACCATACCCAGCCCCATATTTTATTTTTAAATTTTCAATCACAATAAACGAATGAAGTAGAGATTGTACAACAACATTCTTTAATCACTATATAGGAAAACTAACAATAATAAAAAACCCAAATAACAAAAGTCTTTAACTCTTAGAAATTAAGATATTCTTTTCTAAACAACTTGGTTCAACTAAAAAAATAAATTAAAAATGTAGAACATCGAAAAATAATTGTAACAAAAACTTAGTGTGATAGAAACTATAAGAAATAGCTAAGCAGTGCTTAAAGGAGATACAGCCTTAAATAAACAACAGAATGAACAAAATCAAATTCAACATTCAACTCAAGAAGTCTGAAAAAGACGACAAAATAAATGAAAAGAAAGCACACAAAAATTCATAAAGATATCTGACTAAATTAGTGAGTTAGAAAACAGAAACAGCAACTGATAAAATCAAAAGTTTGTCCTTTGATATAAACAATAATTGAGATAAACTGAAAGCTAATGGAACCAAGAAAGAAGTGAGAAAGTACACATATAAAAACCAGAAACAAGGGGCAAGTCAGCACAAAAACAAAGTGAATTAAAAGGCGAGAGAACACTCTGATTAAGTCTGCAAGCAAACTGAAAACTTTAATGAAGAAAGACAAATTTCTAGAAAAATATAATTTACTTATTATAACCCCAGAAAAGGTTGAAACTATTAAATGACCAGTTTTTATGGAAAACGGAAAGTTATCAAAGAGCTCTCCCTTGGAAAAACATCTAGGGAAATCTACCTTGCCCTTAAAATGCAGTTAATTCCACTGCTATTTAAACTGTTCCAGCTCATAGAAAAGCAACTATCACAAGCATCACAAATTCTGGCAAATAACGCACAAAAACAAAACTTTGGATCAACTTCACTTACAGATGTTGAGGGACAATCCTAAGTTAAATAACAGCCAGAAGAGTTCCACAGCACATTAAAATAATGAGATAACATGATCAAAGGGAGCTTATTCCAGGCAGGCAAAGAGTGATTCAGCAGGAGGAGAAAAGTCGTATGACCATCTCCATCTAAGCTGAAAAGGCATTGGAAAAAAAATCAACATTCATTCTTGATAACGACATCCAAAAATGGAAAATTAAATAGAAAGTCCAGAAATAGATCTAAGTATACAGATGTCCATAGTGTATGCTAAAGGTGACATCTCCAGTCGGAGACGAATAATAAATGGTGTTGAGGCCATCACTGGAGCAGTGGCACCTGAGTCTTTATTTATAACTATTATTCACATTTTACGTGTATGTTTTATACATATGTATGACCCATTCAAAATAAAATAATATACAATGGTGACAGTTCTGCTTTAACAGGCTAAAGGGCTTTGGCCATTACAAAGCTTCCTTTATTTACGAATAAATGGGCTTGTTATCCAATACACAAGCAACTCCTACAATCAGTAAGAAAAATACAGGAAATCCAATAGGAAAATAAGCAAGACACACAAAAAGGCAATTCATAGAAGGCTATTAAGTCTATAAAGAAATCTTTGTCCTCACCATTAATCAGAGAAATTAGAACCACACAGGAATACTGGCTTATCTGCTTGGCAAAAACTAGGAAGGTGAAAAACAGCAAGTGCTGATGAAGGATGTGAAGAAACTAGTTTCAAGAGGGCAGGGACATTGTCAGCATGTTCGTCCTTGAATCCCCAGGAGAACTGATTTTTGCACTTGTGGTTGCCTGTTTGTCCACACCTCCCTGGCTGTCTTCTTGGGTGGTCACCCTCTGAACTGATTCTGGGCTTGGGCATGACTTGTTTGGCTGCTGGGAAAACAACAAATATAATTCAATTAGAGATTTGTAATGTTTGTGCTTTATGGCTTGTCCTCTCGTGCTTCTCTTTATACCCTGAGACTGCCATGTGAAGAAGCCCAGACAAGCCTCCTGGATGATGAGAGACCCCATGGAGCAGAGATGAGCTGTTTCAGCTGAGGACCCAGTGATGTGAGGTAGCCAGCTCCCCACTGACCTGGAGGCTGCTGCGTGGGAGAGAGCGCCCAGCTGACTAAGATAAAAAGTGCTTAATCGTATTTTGCTGAATGAACAAATCTGTGATTTAAAGTAAATGAAACAGAAAAATTGCCCAGCTACAGAGATCTCAACTATTGAGGACAAAGATTTGCAACCCCTAAAAAAATTCAAAGACCATCTATGGATTTGGAAGAGCCACTGGCTTCCACAAATGCAAGTTTGTTCATTCAGCACACATAGTTGTCCCTGGGGCAGTGGTACATGTACCACAACTCTGCGTGATGAATGAACATTGGACCAGCCTGTGATCACTATGTATCAACATGTGACCATTGGGAAGGAGATTTAATAATCATTCAGATGCATAAATTCTGGTGTTTAAAGAAATGCAAATCTGGCTCATTACTTAAGATTAGTAGGAAAATCCATAAACTGGGTTTGAAGTGTTACTAGTTCTGTGACCTTAGGTTCACTAGCCTCTGAGTGTCTCACTCAGAATGGAGATAATAATACCTGCCTTGGCCAGGCATGGTGGCTCATGCCTGTAATACCAGCACTTTGGGAGACTGAGGTGGGTGGATCACCTGAGGTCAGGAGTTTGAGACCAGCCTGGCCAACATGGTGAAACTCTGTCTCTACTAAAAATACAAAAAATTAGCTGGGCGTGGTGGTGTGTGCGTATAATCCCAGCTACTCCCCAGCTACTCCAGAGGCTGAGTCAAGAGAATGACTTGAACCTGGAGGCAGAGGTTGCAATGAGCCGAGATCCCACCACTACACTTCAGCCTGGGCAGTAAGAGTGAAACTGCATCTCAAAAACAAAAAACAAAAAACAAAACAAAACCTGCCTTGACAACTCATAGCTTTGTTCTGAGAATTTTATAAGACAGTAGAGTGAGTGCGGTTTGTAAAGTGAGAAGCTACACTGGATAATGGAGAGGCTGATGCGCTGAAAGTTTTGCTTGATCCATTTTATGTACCTTTTACCCACTGGCACCTCATGCCTCATTCTACAACCCAGGGAATGTATGTTGGCTTTACTCTTTATTTAATTTTCCCTGAGGCCCTGCGAAGCTCCTTGGGACCTAGTAGGCCTTTGAAAAAGCTTCTGTTTTTATTCATTGTAACTGTCAGAGGCAGCCATGTAGAAACTAACCCTGTTACAGAATGTCTTCTAATTTGGTAAGGAGCTTAAATGATGTGAAGGGGGGAATAATGAATAGAGTAACCGGTGAGCAAAATTAAATTTCTTGCTCAGGCCCCTGGCTGGCTCTAGTGAACATTCACATAACTGAAGTGTTCGTGCTAAGAAGGTCTCTTGTGATTAAAGGAATATTGAAGAATATTTATTTCATAAAAGAGATGACATTGTAATAAATGATCCCAGGCCTGCGCTCCCTTTGGATAGAAATGCTCCGTTAGGCAGAGCCCTTGGAGAGATTCACTGTTTGGTGGTGACATATCAAAAGCTGGTTCTTTATTCATAACTGTGAAAACTCCATACTGAGGTTCTATGTGCAAAATTAGTTGGTTTAACTGCTCAGTGTTTTTATCTGTGCTAGTGTTTTTATCACCAACGCATAGGTCATGCTGTCTACCGTCTCAGCATGACCAGAGAAGGAGACCCTCTGGCAACATGACTGCCGGGTTTCATCTAGCCTCAGTAATGGGAGGCAGAGGCTGTGCTTCCAAAAGCACTCCTTTGGTAATTGTTTAAACAAAGCACTCATGTTTGTTCTTGTTTTTTCTCATTCTATCCTCTGCGGCATGACAGAATATGTCTCCTTTCTCTCCGTGGCTCAAATGTAGGGTTTACGGAAGAGCAGACATCCTTTGTGTTTCTATTCCCCTCTCTGACCACTGCTTTTCCCTCTGTTTTCTGCTCCCCTGATGACAGTTGCAAATCCTAATGATCCAACCATATTTTCACTTCCTCAAGTTCCGTACCTTTGCCAACTCTCTCCTCAGGCTTCTCCCATGATTATTATCTAAGATGGAAAAAGGTGGTGTCTTTAGCGCCGCAGATTAAATAATATTTCCACTTACCATTTCTACAAGTTTCTCTAGGGTCTTCAAACTTTGGCCAGTGTATTTAAGATGTATATTGAATAGATTCTGGTATTTTTCAAGAAGTGATAAATGATGAGTATTTACATTTTTAAATTATTAAAACTGACAATACATTAGTAGGATTCTAAGTAGACCAGCTAAAGGAGATCATATTAGCCTTTAAAGTATCTTAGCCTTGGTGGGCAGAGTCTTTGTGTCCTCCATGCTTCCTTCACCACAGTGCCTGACACATAGTAGGTGCTCAATTAATGTTGAATGAATATGTGAAAAAATTAGGCAAAAATTTCTATGTATGTACTTGTATTTATGAGGACAAGAACGATTCTATAAACATCTTGAAAGCAGTAGGCATTTACTGGGAGAATAAGAAGGCAGCAGGACCTGGTTAGCATCTGCAGGAAGGAACTCTTGATGAGATGAGTTTAGTTCCATCACATGTAGCCACTTAGGTACATTAGAGGTAGAGCTAAGAGGAATGTCATATGGTTTGAACCTGTGTCCACACCCAAATCTCATTTTGAATTATAATTCCCACACATTGAGGGTGGAAGGTGATTGGATCATGTGGGCGGTTTCCTCCATGCTGCTCTCGTGATAGTGAGGGAGTTCTCACGAGGGCTGATGGTTTTAAAAGTGTTTGGCAGTTTCTCCTTTACTCACTTTCTCATGCTGCCTTGTGAAGAAGGTGTCTGCTTCCTCTTCTGCCCTGGTTGGTAAGTTTCCCAAGGCTTTCCCAGCAATGCGGAACTGTGAGTCAATTAAACCGCTTTCTTTTATAAATTACCTAGTCTTAGGTCATACTCTTCACAGTAGTGTGAAAACAGACTAATACAGTACCTGAACTGCATGCTTTTTCCTTGGGTGTATCTGCCAATGAAATGAAGAGAAATTTTAAAATCTTGTTAGAAATGAAAATGTGTGTGTTTTTTGGAATCCCAATTATACGATATGCCACTGGGCAGAGACTGCTCTGCAATGATTTCTCTGAAGAAGAGCTAGGGTCCATTTCTGTTCATTATTAACACCTTCTCCGCTCCTTTTGAGATCTCTGATTCTCTGTGGCCAATGCCTCTGTCGTCTTTGCCTTATTCTACTAACAGGGCTGTGTTGAATAAAACTTTCCCTCCTTGAGTGTGCTAATCATTGGAGAAATCAGTGGGAGTGTGAATAATGGAAGGAAACAGAGCAGCCAGAGTAGTGGAGCACTCCCTAAATCAACGGCTCCAAATCTTCTGGATTTCTTGAACTAATAACAAATGCAAACATATTTTGTACTTTGCCAAGTAATGATATTAAAATTTTTTTCAAATTACCATCTTCATCATTATTTCATAAAGAACTGGAAGATTTCTGGAGTTAAAAGTTAGTGCAAGACATAATTATTTTAACAAAGGCCAATTCTTTAAACAGAATAAAGTCAGCTTTATATCACTTAAAAAAAAATTTCACCGCAGCAACATTTTGGCATAGACCAGAAATGACAGGGTAACCATGTCCATGCTGAGCTGGATGGTTGGGAGGCATAGTAGTGGCAGGAGGGCTGCCCCAGCCCTGGGTCCTGGTGCTCACAGGACATCACTTGGCTGGATCTGGCTAGTCAGGTGGTGACCAGGCTAATAGGAATTTGTACATATTTGCAGATTTGATGAAATTTACAACACTTTTCTTGGATAATGACTTTCCAATCAGAGTTGTCATCACAATGACCCTACTAAGGGCAGGTAAAAATCAGATACAAATTTTTCAGCCTGAAGAAATATTTATGACTTCACAGTTCAATTGGTGGGAGAATTCTGTGGTCCAAGGCTGTAGTTTTGTACCAAATTTAAATCGCCCCTTTCAAAATATTCCATTATTGGTATTTTATTTTTCTGCTTGTGAGGAAGATCATGTTTTAAGTATAAGATTTGTGGTTTTAAACAATAGAAACCACTTGTGTTAACTTAGGTAGATAAGGACATTTAAATAACACTTTTTTTTTTTTGAGACAAGGTCTCACTCTCTCATGCTGGGGTGCGGTGATATGATCTTGGCTCACTACAACCTCAACCTCCAGGCTTAACTGACATCCTTGTCTCAGGCTCCGGAGTAGCTGGATACAGGCTTGTTCCATGATGTCCAGCTAATTTTTGTATTTTGTAGAGACGGGGTTTCACCA